ACATCTGCCTTAACTATGACATTATCTCAGAGTATCTGTAATGGGAATAATATCTAATATGTGGGAGTCGTGATGATTTAATGGTTAATATAAAATTTTAAATATGTTGGTCACTGTCCATCCTTGAGCACTATTTTGAAATAACAATTCCCAAAACTGTTTACTTTTTGTAGTCATTTCTGGAAATAAAACTAAAATCAAGGGTTTGAAATGTGATTCCACAAACTAATGGGTAAAACCATGTGGCTAAATCAATCATTTTATATACAATCACACTGTTTACCTGCATATTTTCAGGTGACAGACCAATGTGTTTCAGTGGCATCAGCAGAGGATGATCCCCTCTGAGCAGCACAGCTGCTAGATGGATGATCAGCTCGATGACAGTGTTTTCCTCAATGGTGTTACCAGGTTGGATGGTAAGAGCTCCCAGTCTGTTATAAATCAATGCTGACGCAAAATTTCTTACTTCTGTTTGAGGCAGGTATCTTGAGCCGTTAATGAGATCATCAAATCCATTACATTGCTGTTGGGGATACAGAAAACAACTAAGAGAAGCAACACACTTTTTTTTTTTTTTTACTGTGTAACAGTATTAATAATAATAAATGTCTCTCTGTGCAAAATGGGTTTAAAAACATAAACAACTGTGGGATACTGTTTGTCCATCATTTGAACTGGGGAACAAATTGTGGCAGGGTAAGCCTGATATTTGTATCCCACTGTATTTTTTTTTTATATATATAAAGAGATAATATCACCAAAATTTCATTATAAGAAGTGTTTGTGAACTAAATTCAATAATTTGGGATGCTGTTTGTCCGTGATTTGGACAGCCCAGTGCGTGCTCCCGACGCAGGGGAAACAAATTCTGTTGGGGAGACCTACCTTGGCACCGCCGTTGTGCAGGCGAAGCCAAAGGCAAGATATGTTTCATCATATTTTCCAGTCTTTGGTTTCGAAGGAAGTTGGTTTGGAAGCATATTTGGCAATGCTTCATTCTCTGCTTTGCATTTGTGTGGGAGCCCCGTCAAAAACCCGTCCATTATGCTAGTAGTGTCCGAGCATCCTTTTTTTAAAAATTCTTACCGCGCCCCCACTTTGGGAACCTCTGCCTTAATACATTAGCAAGGCAATCTGTGATATAATAGTCTAACTAGCTGTAGATATTGACAGTTAACCATGTCATACAGCCCTCTAATTTAGCATTTTTTAAAATTAATATTTTAATACGCTTTATGATAAATCAAGATGTAGGCCAGTGTTTTAGCTTAGCTTGGGCCAGGTCTGGCAATGATACCCTGTTTATGCGATGGCGTGCCATATCTGGCTCGATTGTGGTTTGGGTTAAGTGGCCCAGGCTCATAGAAAACAGGTCTGGCCCGGATCTGGCATCAAGCTGGCACTTCTGACTGACTGGTGTCATGGCAGCGTGTATGTTACGGTCCTAGCTGGGCCTCCTGAAACTGCCCTTGTGTGGGTGTGGTGTTTTCTCTCCGCC